CTGGGGGGGTGTCGAGGGCAGGGCTGGCGCTCCAGCTTCCCTGGAGCAGTTTGGATTCCCGGGGTATGGCTCCTGGTTGCCGTGGTTGGCCCGCTGGCCGGGGTGGCTGCCAGAGTCCTGTGGGCGGTCGACTAGGGGTGCTCGTTTGGCCGTTGGAGGTGTGTGGGGATGGTTGGGGGCATGGCTTTGCTGTGGCAGGGGGGCTGGCCAGTCGGCCTGGTGCGGGCCGTGGCTGTCTTCTCCTCTCCACCTCAGAATGAATGGGTCTACCTCCTGGGTTTGGATGTGGGCTACCCTCTGTAGAGGGYGGGTGCATATCCTGGAYCTAGGGGGTATAGAGCATGTATGGGGAATGTGATTAGCTTACTGGGTCCATCTTGTGTGTCTTTGAATGACTGGGTGTGAGGATGAGGGTGGGATTGTGTGATTGTGTCTGTGTATGATTGGACATGTGTCAGGCTGGGCCTTGTGCTGCCCCCTCTTCTGGTTCACCTGGGAGCCCACTACTGGTGGTGGGCTTCGTCCCCCTGCCACTCTGCCCTCTGSTGGGCTGTGCCTTTTCCTGCCGGTGCGCTGGTGGCCATCAGTGTCTGGGGCTGGRCGCTTGAGTGTGAGCCAGCACGGCCCGGTGACTGCCTGGTGGGGCTTGGGTCCTCTAGCCCTATCGGGCCTTGGCCTGGGCGTGGTGTGCCTTGGGGGCCTGGGTCTCTGTTTCCATGCCTGAATCTGCTCTGGTGCGGCGGGTGCCGGCGGGGCCTGTGAGCTTGCCACTGCCGGCCCCGGGGAATTACTGCGTGGGGTCGCTGGGGGGACTCTCCTGGTTCTCTCCTATGGTCTGCTCTGGTGGGGCAGGTGTGCAGTTCTTCCTGCACTGGTGCCCCTGGGGGATCCGTGCTTGGGGTCSKTCTTGGGATCTTTGGCACTGGTCTCCATTATGTCTGCTTCAGGTCTTGGGGGTTGGGTCTGTGGGTCCCCACAGTCACTAATAAATACTCCTTTGGAAAATCTTATATATACATGCATCCACCTGAACACTTGAGCCAACTGAAGATTTGATCCACCTGAAAATCTGATCCACCTGAAGACCTGAATCCACCTGAAAACCTGATCGACCTGAACACCTGATCCACCTGAAGACCTGGATCCACCTGAAGACCTGGATCCACCTGAACACCTGGATCCACCTGAAGACCTGGATCCGCCTGAACACCTGGATCCACCTGAACACCTGATCAACCTGAACACCTGATTGACCTGAGGACCTGGTCCACCTGAAGATCTGATCCACCTGAATACCTGGATCCACCTGAAGCCCTGATCCACCTGAAAACTTGGATCCACCTGAAGACCTGGAAAATAAAACTGAGTATTTTTTAGTAAAGGTAAATATACTTTAATAGAAATAATAAGAACATGTAAAGTATTTATAACACAAATTTATATTTATAGTTTTATTTTATTTGTATGTCTCAATGAGAGAAGACCTCCCTAAGATAAGAACCTTTTTAATAGAAATGTTAAAAAAATATATATTTGCATTTCCAAATGTTCTGGATATTACTGTTTATGTTTTGTGTTTATTTTCAGGAGGGGTGAGGCTAACACCTGGAAAACAAAGATGAGAATTTTTTTAATAGAAACATTTTGAAGCTGTTGTTCAGCAGGTTATCACCAATTTAGAGATAAGAAGCTTCTGAAAATAATTGTTTAGAGTTTTAATGTTAATTCTTTATAAATGTGAAACTTACTCATTTTTATCTTTTCCCTCCTAATATTTAGTTTAAAAGCTGAAGAAGAGCCAAAACAAAAGATAAGTATCATTTACAAGAAACAAAATCTTCTGGATTCTAACGATTCTGAGTCTTAATATTTTATATTTGATTGGTTTTGTAGTTTTACTGCCAGCTGGAAACAATCAGAGGTAAATAAATTTGTTGAAGAAACATCTAGAGAATGTTGTGTGCTTATTAATATTTCTCTCTTTTCTTGTCTTTATTGTTTTTTGGAGCTACCAGTCTGTGATGGACCACTTACCTGTTCAGGGTCTACCTGCCTCTTGTGGACCATGTTGGTTGGTCCTGCTGGTCTCTCTCGACCCCCTCCACCTGCTCAGTTCAGGATGGAGCTTTTAAAAGCCTGGAAATAAAAAGGAAATAAAATGTGAAACCATTCTAAATGTTTTTGTTGTAAATGAAAAAGTTGAAATGCTTTTTGATGACAGGAAATGCAGAAAATCATATTTGTGTATTTTTGTATGGAAGACTTTAAAACTGAGCTGCAAATCAAACTGTGATGTTGGATCTGATTCATTTGTCCTCGTGAGGAGAAAACATTCAGGAGCAAAGAGGGACTTGATTTAATCCTTTTCAGCAGCAGAGGGCAGAAGAAAACCTTTCTGAGGACAAAACTTGTGTTTCCTAAAACTTTTGACTGTAAAACATGGAAACAGTAGATTTGACTGAAAACAGGAACAACTGGACAAACAGGAGCAGAATGATGCAGTCATGAAGAACAAACCAAAAACTACAGATTAGATGAAGATCAGATCAAACTGAAGAGATTAAATACTATAAATAATAAATACTGTTAAACTGACTTAATCTTGAATATATTCTGTCAGATTATTAAACAGAATTAATCTGGGGGACCCTCAACGGCCCCATTCTGGCCCCTGATCCCCCCCCCCAACTGCTGGTGTCCATGATGGCAGCCCACTGCTCCACGTGAGCTGTGCGGACTGCTGATGGGAGCAGCCAAAATAAAAATAAAACGAAGAATTTAAATTTAAATTCCAGATTGGGGAAAAAAATGAGGTGGATTTTGCTAAATATATATAAAAAATCCAAGTTCATCAAATTAAAAACAAATCCTTCATGATTTCTGGGAGAACATTTGTTTGTTTTATTACTAAGTTTTTTTTTATCATTTCTGAACTTAGTTGACAAAGTGACCAAACAGAAAAATCATTTGTAAAATCAAGTCTATTCTTATTATTACTCAAGACAAGCTCCAACCCTGAAAACCAGTTTTATCTTGACTCTGAGGACTGAGTTGATCCTAAAACTGATGTTTTAGTTCTCCTTCGTTGGGATCTTAACGCTCTTTAAGTCTTCACTGCTCTGACACTTGTGCTCTTCTCCAGATCTTCTAAATGATCTTAGAGTTTAGATCAGGGGCAAATTCATTTTCACTGAGGACCACATGAGCATCATGGTGGCCCTCAAAGGGCCACCATGATGCTACGACTGAGCACCACTAACAAACAATAACTGAGCTCTACCTGGTATTTCCTGCTTAGAAACAGTTTTAGCACATCCAAARCACTGACAAGTACGTGTTCTACTGACTCAGTGTGAAAGAAATAATACAGAAATACTATTAAAAGCAAGAGTTTTAGTCACTGAGGAGTTGTGAGTAACTGCCATCCATCCATCCATCCATCCATCCATCCATCCATCATCCATCCATCCATCCATCCATCCATCCATCCATCCATCCATCCATCCATCTAATTTTACCTTCTGCTTCCTTTCAGGTCATTCAGCAGTCACAGTTAGAAGGGTGGGGTCCACTCTGGACAGGTCAGTCTATCAAAGCCCAATGTTTAATTTCTTTATCAAACAATCTTAGCTAAGGGAAATTTCTCATCCTTTTGCTTTGGTGAAAGAAGTCAGAAAATTAAGTCCATCCGCACTTCCTGTTCACAGTTCAAGGAGTTCTGGATTACTATGTTGAGGTTTGAACAGTGATGCAACATGAAGTTTGTTGATGATCAGATGTTTTATAAAAAGTTGAAATGATTGAAGTCAGAGCAGGAGTTTGAGCTGCAGCCTCACAGTGAGCAGGTCACAGGATCACCTCCCACCTGCTGCTTCTCTCTGGTTCTAACCCTGGCCTGTGCCTACGTGGTTTAGTTCAGGTCCACTGGTTCTCTCTGGAAATAGTCGGGCCATTTGTTTTTGTTGCAGAATCATCACAAGTTTTCTCAGTTTTCAATGTTAAACCAATGGAAAATAATAAAGCATTTTTTGATACTACAAACTTCCTTATTCCATCACTAATATGTCATACCCATCATATCGAAATGAGGATTAAGTCAAACTTGGTCAAAATGACCTAATTACATTTTCAGATTTTTGGCTTTAAAAGCTACATTTTGATACCTGGATCATTCTGATATCATAATTAAA